ACATCCCTAGTGATAGATTGCATTGACGTGCTTCTACCGATCATAACGAAAATGATCAATTTATCACTTGAGTCTGGGCTATTCGCTGATGACTGGAAGTGTGCGCTTGTCCTTCCTCTGCTGAAGAAGTCTGGGCTAGACCCTCTATACAAAAATCACAGACCTGTCAGCAACCTGTAGTATGTTTCAAAGCTGACTGAAAGGGTGATGTACGAGCAGATACACACCCATATGATGACTCATTCACTATATCCTGAGTTTCAGTCTGCATATCGTAAAAATCATAGTGCGGAAACGGCTCTTGTTAGAGTCACAAACGATGTTCTCATGAAAATGAACACTCAAGAAGTCACCTTGCTGGTCATGCTCGATCTTAGCGCCGCTTTCGATACGGTTAATCATAACATCCTCCTTACTCGTTTGAATGAGGAGCTTGCGATATGCGGATTGGCGTTGGAATGGTTCAGGTCGTATCTGACGAAGAGAGGCCAGCGAGTCTCCATCGACGGATCTCTTTCAGAGCGCTTTAGCCTGTAGTGTGGTGTCCCACAAGGCTCATGTCTGGGCCCCCTGCTCTTTGTAATCTATGCATCCAAGCTATTCAGAGTGGTTGAAGATCAACTTCCACACGTGCATTGCTATGCCGACGACACACAAATTTATCTGAGTTTCAAACCTATCAGTAACACATCCCAGGAAGATGCTATCCGTGCGATGGAATGTTGTATCAAGAAGATCAGGCGCTGGCTGATCCATGATAGACTCCTTCTTAATGACTATAAGACTGAGTTTATTATTATTGGAACACGCCAGCAACTTAACAAATTACAGGCTATGAAAATTAAAGTAGGTGGTTCAGAGATAAAATCTAGCCACCAAGTTAAGAACCTTGGGGGCTGGCTTGATCCAAAGCTGAATATGCCCCACCATATTACTAATGTATGTAAGGCGGGCTTTTTCTACTTGCATAATATTAGATGCATTAAGAGGTATTTATCGAGAGACAGGTTACTCACTCTGGTACACGTATTCATCACGAGTAGGTTAGGTTACTGTAATGCTTTATTGTATGACCTTCCCAAAGAGCAAATAGCTAAGTTACTACGCGTGAAAAATGCTGCCGCCAGACTAATTATGGATATCGGGAAGTATTCTCACGTTACTCCAGCACTCTATGAGTTACACTGGTTACCAGTACTAACGCGTGTACACTTTAAGATCCTTTTTTAACTTTTAAAGCCACCCATGGCCTCGCACCCGCATATATTAGCAATCTTTTAGTTATCAAACGCAAGTCCTTGTACAGTCTTAGGTATTTTATTAGAGCCACCTAGAGGCAAAATGCTGGCAACCCTGGGTAAACGTGCATTTCGGGCAGCTGTACCGCATCTATGGAATGAGCTACCATTGCATTTACGCAATATTCGATTTGTAGAAATTTTTAAGAATTCAATTAAGACTTTTCTTTTTTAGGCAAACCTTTTAATAGTGGTTAAATTATGAATTCTATAAAGCCAATTTAACAGTAATATGTAATTATTTTTTATTTAATTAGATGAGATTTTAATATTTAGAGATGTCAATTGTAGGGCGCTATTTATCTGTTATTGTAAATAGCGCTATATAAGAAATAAATTATTATTATTATTATTTATTGTTATTATCATTTATTATTATTATGATTATGATTATTTATTGTTATTATTATTATTATTATTATTATTATTATTATTATTATTATTATCGGATTAAAAGATTTCCACTCTGGAGAGCGGATTAAAAAATATCCGGATTTGCTTGCGAATTCGCCGGATACGTGTGGACGATAGCCGTATCGGGAAAGAAAAAGTTGCGGATTCAAAAATATCCGGATGCGTGTGGACGGGGCCTTAGTGAATCGTTCTTTTGTTTCAGCGCTATCCAAAGCGAGTGATGCTGAAACAGGTGATCACGCGACACAGCCAAAAATACAACTAGATGACAGGATCATAAAGAGAGCATATCGGATAAGTATGACACGGACACTCTTTTCCATCCTCGTGCATTGTGACAGCTTTACTTGATTATAGTTTATGTCACTGAGGAAAAGCAGAGCATCAAGGAATAAAAGGCACAGAGAATTACAAGAGATCCGAATTCTTCAAAAGTAACGTCATTACCGGATGCGGAAGATCTAAAGGACATGAAACTCTTTTCGTTAACTTTTTAGGACAGCTGTGGTGTTAAGAGCCGTAAATACTCTTTGAGAAAATTCAACCCGAATTATACTTAAAGCAATTCTGAAAACTTTGCTTCAAGGATGTAAACTTTCCCCGTCTTCAATACACTGTGAGAATCAGCACCTTTTACGATTACTTTCGTGACATCGCAGTTACCGCTGGACAGATCTCATAATTATCATATCTGGAGCGAAACGGAAAATCTAAGGTAAGTCGGCTGCAAACTATAGCACGCGCTTGGCTGTGGACGACCTTCGATCTTGGTGAGTATTCCATATAGATATAAGCCTCAAACTGACCTTTACTGTGCTAGTTTTAAAGTTTTGCCTCATTGGAGTCAGCCGAAGATTATACCTGAAGTCTGTTTTAAAAACATAGGGAAATCGAAATCGATTAGCATAAGTATCATCCGTGGTTTGGTTCACAGTGCTCCTGATCCAACCCTATACAACTAACAAATACTGAAAAATTTTGCTTCTTAAGGTAACATAGAATTATTCTCTTTTGTGTACAATCGATAGAAATTCAAATTCGAACCATAGGGTCTAAAAGCAAAGGTTTGAAGTTTAATTTATTCTCAATGGAATATTTTCGTGTATCAAATTATGCAGGTTGAATTTCCTCACAAAAAAAGGAACCAAGACTGATAATCTGACACCTTGAACTAATACGTGTCAGTTTAGCCTTGACCTGTATAAATGTTTTGCGAAAGTAGACACTGAGGGCCCTGATAAAATTCTCAAATTATTTTTAGAGGCAATGAAGGTTTGAACCGGTAAACGACTGATTCAAAACCAATATTGCTCTTGAACACTACGAATTTCTTGAGGATAGGAATTTTTTAAGCGGTGTTTTTCAGATTTCAGGTGTTATGGTAAATAAAATCTGAGAATAAGCGCTCTAAGAATACCGAGATTCGAAGAGACAGCTTGAATGTTTTGTGAAGCCATGTCAATTTACGTATGATGAATCCTAATAATTTATTCTGCCAGTTATGGCTGGCGGACTCACAAGAACGTGATGGTAGGGTGTGGGTGGGAAGAAATGAAATATTACGACGAAAACCGTGAAAGTAATCTGGTGCGGACTTTGGTCGGTGTTTTGTTATCACGGAAAGAAGAAGATTTAGTTCATTAAAGCAAACAATCTTGCGCTGTCCGCCCTCATTCCAAATCGCTGAAAGCGTGTTTTGCGTGATGGTGTGTTGCGTGACGGTGTGTTAGAGATTTTGTCAATGTACACGTTTTGTTAAACATTGAGGAACACATGTTACACACACACTGAGATTTACACTGTGAAGTGCTATTTTTCATGTCTCTTTTTGGACGAACGATGTATTTTCAAGGTCTTAGTAATTTATTAAATAAAAACGTCTTACTATGGAAATTGCTTGAGCGATATTCATTTATTTGTTAAGATGTATCAAAAAACTTACTCGTTCATTTCTTTGATGCATTGCAACTAGTGAATAAAAATCTTTCGTGGCCACTTTCCGTTGACTAACCTCTTTACCTAAGGATTTCAAACAAATATGACTCTTTTTTTCGTTATTTTACCGACTAAATTCTAGACCGAATAATACATCTTAGTAAAAGTGATATAGTGGCTAAGAACAATGGACTGTGACTGTGGACTGTGGACTGTGGAGTGTGGACTGTGGAGTGTGGACTGTGGAGTGTGGACTGTGGACTACGAACGCGGGACTACGGAATCTAGAGTTCGGAATTTTTTTTTGTGTAAAACTAGTCCAAAAAGCGATTGCAAGTTCTTAGTTGTGGATTTTTTCAGCTATTACGAAAACAGCCTACATAAGTGGCAATTTTTTGAAATGTTAATTGAACTGTAATTAAGAGCCCGCAGGGCTGTACAGATTATGTGATAAAACATGTTAACACTTCATGCACTCTCAAGATGTCTTGCCCGCGATAAATTTCGAAAGAGATCTTTAGAATCGATACTTACGCAAACTTACAATTACATTTTCGTGTATCAGTAATGCATGTGATAGCTTTTCTTTCAGGTGTTAATGACCACAGATAAGGAGATGAAGGTTTCTTGTTGGACGTGCTTTATATTTGTCACGGCCTTGATCTCTGCAGGTACGTGCATGATGTGCATTAGTTTACGTATAGTTTTAAAATTTCCACTGAGAAATGATCGATAAAAATGAAACGGCGGAGAAGTGGGGTTTACGACAGAACTCACAAGTACTGGTACCGGTAAGCTACAAGCTTTTTTCTACTAGTGGATATGCGAGACATGGGAACGAGTTATGAAGGGGATCGTTGCATTAGCACGGCCTTAGGAACCCTTAGGGGAGAGCGTGCGTTTGACATAAGATGGCGGACAGATCGTTAGATATGATAGGTCAATTGGAAAGGACTTTGGTGGGAATGGCAACTTAATTCTACTTATTGAAATCACAGGATAATTTCATTTTAGTACAATCAGTGTAAATTCTAGTTGTATTCTAAAAAAGTATATCCACGAGTTCACCGTAGGGTCACATTGGTTTTCTGTCTTTTGGTACTTTTTTCCGTATACGTATGCGAATCGTACTTCAAAGCAAGTCGAAATGGCTTTCTCGGAAGGCAGCAACTACCTTTTTTCAGCACGAAGGGATGGTTGGAAGGGGGTACTCATCTGTGAACTACGAGAAAGGAAAAACGCGCTTTCTACCAACATTTTTGTGTTAAAAAAGGAAAACCTTTCCTCTTACGAAGAGCTACAATTAATGGAAATACCGCTTCAGAAAAAAATTATTCCTATTTAGTGCCGAAGTTTTCTTGGAAGGTTTTTATCTAAAAAAAAGCCGCTTTTTTTGCTTTCAGCTTGTGCTCTTCAGTGCAATGTATGTTATTTTGATACCCTTTCAAATGAGAACTCTTGCAATACCACTCATGAGAATTGCATGGCTGAATGGCCATTCTGTATGACACAGTCAGAAGAGAGACCAGATGGAAGCAGGATATTCACGAGGGGCTGCGCTCCCCTTTTGCCCTGCAAACCGGACTATTGCGAGGAAATGCTCATAAAGAAGGTAGGGCGGAAGGACTGCAACATCACGTGCTGTCAGGAAGATTTGTGCAACAGGGACGGCTATGGTACAGCTGGAAGCGAAGAACGTGTGTCACGTGCCAACCGGATGTTAGAATACTTTGTCATTATTATAGGAATCTGTTTTTCTCTTTTAGGAAGACAGTTGTAACTCCAAGAAGTTTATTTTGTAGGGTGGTAGCTTTAGGTAGTCTCCTTCGGATTCGCAGCCTTTGATGGGGCCGTCAACTAACGCACTTCCCCCTCTTTAAAAGCAACTGTTGCCGAGGAACTGAGTTGGGAATTCGGTGATGAAGAAAGACGTAAGGATTTACTTTTCTGTGCGTCACACTTTACTAACTGTACCAGGTATTCTTACTTTCCTAGAAATCTTGACAGTAGTGTCAGTTAACTCGTTACCAGCCCTTTTCAGCTAATCTCACGATTTCGACAGCAATTTGTGATAGATAAGCACGAGTAAATTTTTTATAGACTAACAAATTTGCACAAGCCCGTAGGGCAATGGCGATTTGTACTCTTTGAAAAAGCAAATTAACGAGTATTTGTTTATTGCCATAGAAAAATCATGTGATTACATATCCATGATATACATTAAAAAACATTCTTCATATCAATGAAGAGGCAAAGTGCGCAAGTCGCGTGCAAAGATGACTTTTTTTAGGACCAACCGCGTTCAATCAAAACGAAGATGTTCTAAATTGGTTTTAAGTTTTTAAGCTGCTAAAAATTTTAAAGCCCGACTAAGCAGCCTGTTACATTTTTTTTTGCTCTGAGCTTACCTCTCTTCTGTACTACAAACAAGGAAGCGTTGCGAATGATATTTTGTTGAGAATTGAGATGATTAACGAAAAGGCGTATGAAATCATTGCGTATTTCGTCGTTTAAGGTCACTTGTGATGTTTTGAAGGTTTTCAAATTACCCTCGCTTACGACTCGTGCAATTACCAAAATTTTTAAAACATCGTGACTCGGGCGCATTAGGCAAGAAATACAATTACCTTCAGAAAACTTCCTATACTTATCTTTACAAAGTAGATGTATTTAAAATAACCTAGTAAATCTATCTTTTAAGACTCGTCCCAACTCTGATAAACATGATTTTAACTTGTATTTGTACATAAGTTTCCACCAGCGTTCGCTTTTTGTCCTCTCTGTCTCCGTTGACATTTTTCGCCTTGTCGTTTTTTAGGTTTTCTTTCTTTTGAACACCCAGTGTCCGCTTACCTAGTTCCATTATTGGTCACATTACCACAAAGCCAGAGTTTCTCACAAGTGTTTTTGGTGGTGAGTTAGACTGTTTTTGTAAGCGTCTTCTTCCACCTTCGCATTTCTTATCGTTGGCATTCAACAGATTCTGCGATCAACAAGTTGCGTTTCACTCAACGCAGGATTCGCACGGGCCCCATCGCATGATGGGACCCGTGCGATTAGAAGACACACACTCTTGTCTGAAGTACTGTGAGGCCGTTTTCTTTGGACAATAATTTTTACATATCTCGGAACATAATCACTCCCTTATGGCGGACGACATTCTCCGTCGGTATTTCGCAAGATGCTAAGCTGGTAAACATCTGATTGGTTAATATCGTAGTTTGTTAGCAGCGTGGCAATAGCAGTTATTTGTTCTTTTTACGCCTGGAAAAACCAAGTGATTCAGCTTGATCTTTAATCGCGAGATTGTTTCTCATAAGTAAAACTTCTATCCAAATGAAGTATGGTAATCAATATTACTGTGCTGAAAATCACCATGATATCGTGCCATATCAGGTTGTTATTACACGACTCGGGAAGTCAGAGGGCCAATAACGAAAATCAAACAATCAAAATACTCTATTGCCGGTCAATATTCCCAAGTATTGGACCGGGCACTGTCCCGAATGGTCTCGAATGATACCGCACTTGTGTCCCTTTGAACTTCAGTCATATAATAAATCTCTTATTAACCAAGCTTGTTCTGGACCGTACTGGAAGAATATCGGCCCTCGGTCTTTTTAGAACGGACCGAGCGCAGCGAGGTCCGTACTGTCAAGACCTCGGGCTGATATTCTCCCAGTACGGCCCTCGCGCTTGGTTAATAAGATATATGTATCGTATGCTATCAGGACAGAAAATCAGGCTTTGGATTATAAACGAATAAGTTGTCGAACCCGAGGACCCTGAAAGCCACTCATGCCTTGATACCCTCCGATCTTGTCTAAGCTCGGTTGATAAGCTTTTGGCGAACTTACGTCGGAGATATCTGAGCTAAAGAAATACCAGGCTATAGTTTAATATTCATCCTAATGCAGTATTGAATATGATTCAACATTTGACTTTTATTGAAAACCTAGCTAAACTCCTTTGTAGATAATCAAAATTCGTAAAACATTTTGTCAATAATCAAAATAAATTTTAATTCCAATACTTATGGAAACATTGCCACTTTGAACAAAGCGATACTCCTGAATAAATAGTTAAATCTATACAATTTACTTTAAACTAACTAATTATTAGTATAATTTCAGAGCTGAGCAAAGAGTTTCCAGCAATCTGATTGGTCGAGCGGTTCCTTATATGACGCTATATAAACCGCTCCGCGCCGTTTATATAAAATGTTAATAAATGTTACTAAAATGTTATGATTTTAGACATTTCTCTGTTGTTCAGCCCTGAAATTATACTAAAACAATTATTCGCCTAAGGTTCGGTGAATATTGTCGAATAATCCCCTCGACTTCGTCTCGAGGATTATTCGACGATATTCACCGAACCTGAGGCGAATAATTATTAAATATCACAACACTTTACTTCCAATATCTCTGTAAACAATGTCGATAACTTTTTTTTTCTTTAGAAAAGAAATTTTTTAAACCCGGCTTTAACTTTAAAATCACCCAAAACTCTTCAGAGTTAGTCACACATTACCTAACTGAAAAAGAATATAGATTAATACCCTTTGAACAAAGGGTGTGAGCTTGCCGTCATCTCCAATTTACGTAGGGTCATAGCCCAGTTATATAAAAGGAATTTAAATTTCTTTTGATAAGCTTGATAAGGAAGTGAGGTCACAAATTTTGCCTTTGAAAAATTTCACCCTTATTATTTCAAGTTCGCTGACTGCAGTCCGTGTGTATATTCATCATCCAGTTTTTTATTATTTTTTTTTTCATTTAGTTTACTCTTTCCTTTTCTGCATTTGTCCTCCTTTGAAGGTTTTCTTCTTCGCTAGGATAAAGCAAGTTTTTTTATTTACGAAATCACAAGCAGCCTGTAAATAAACTGAGCAATTTTCGATTCAACGTTGGAAGTAATTTGGGTTTACATTGGTTTTGCTCTAGTTGTCTCTTTGTATCTCGAGCCAACATCTCAGCCAATCACGTGACTCACAACCCCGTCGCTCACCTTTTCCCGCGTTCCAAGCAGTTTGCTTGTCTTTACTTTGAGGTGTCACTGCCAGATTACGAAGTTAACTTGTTTACCTTGTGATTACTATGATTTCGGTTTCACAACACTCACACTAACTGTGCTCCATATCTAATGTAACTTAGTAAGAAAACTTTGCCTTCCGCGTATATGATGATATCTTAGTTCACTTTCTTAGTGTCGTTTTTAAATTCAAAATACTATATTCTCATAACTCAAAACTCGAAAGACTGCAAATAAGAAATTTACGGCAAGCACTGATCCGATACCATGCATGAAAATGCAGCTTCTCATTACGCCAACACAATCCAATACGCTAACAAAATCGGAAACCGAACGGACAGTATTTCTTTGGAATAAACTCAAACTCATGACCAGCTGAATAAAAAGATAAAGAAGCTATTGAGTGCTATCGTTATAAAAAGTAAAAAACAAAAAACTGCAATAATTATAAAAGCATTGCGTTCAAAAATCTTGTTAAGATTTACAAAGTTAAAAAAAAGGTGTCAATTGAAATGTTGATCCCATAACACGTGATCCTGAATTCCTTATAAGGAATATAAACTCTGACATCTCTCACTAAATTAATCTTGAATACGCCTATGTTTAAATATGAATAACATGTTTAAATATAAATAACTTGTCTTACATTGGAATAACTTCCTACAATTTTTCCTTTCGGAAATATCCTGATTTACTAATGTTTCATTGACTAGAAATTGTAGACACTCTTCAAGTGTCTCCTTGGTACAGCTATTTGAGCTAGCGAAGTCTTAAGACTCAGAGAGACAAAGTGTACATGTCTCCAATCATTGACAATCGCCTAAATGCGAGTGCAATCGAGAATTTACTCGTGGTGATATTTTAAAAATGAGAATTGTGCCGAAAACGATCAAATATTACGATTGGTCCGTTAAAAATTATTGAGCTTTCATATGATTCCTTAATTAACACGGCTATAGCAGTCGTGTGATGAACAGCATTCATCCCTGATATGATAAGATGTGTTGTATCTTTCCAAGCTAGCTGAGTATAAAGATTTGAAAATTACTAACTACAGTAACTGTACAATTAAATATTGTAACGTATTTAGAAGAGATAATCATACTTTTATTACGTTCAGTTGAACCACTTGTTTAGGATCCAACCGGTGTGTAAGATAACGCTAAAACTAAGAACGAGGCTGAAAAAAGAAAGATTTAATGTAAGCATTTGAGTTAGTCATTCGAACTGTATCTGGTAGTTGAGGACTCAGTTTCTAAAGAAACTGTGGTGTTGCGCCGGGGGNGGGAACGACAAGATACATGTGATTTGGTTTTATCGACTGAGTTCATAAAATAAATTGGCCAGCGCATAGGGATGCTAAAGCTGCTGCTTCAAATGTTAGCCCGCCGAGTTAGAGCGTTCTACTTTTGGTCGGAGTTCTCTGTTAACAAAGTATCCCCACACGTGACGCATGCGGAGTTGGCTGGGGCTCTATCTTACCAGAACCAAGACTTTTTCTTCATCCCATATGAAATAATATAATCTTATACACTAGTTCATCAGTAAAGTTGAGGAAAAATTAATTCATTTAAGCCAGCTCACCTAGCTTCGTGGTAGACTCCAAATGATACACAACAAGAAGGTTTTCCTCCTATCGAACAACAGTACTTCAATTTTTTATCATCCTTTGGACGTGGACAGTAATCCCTCACGCTTGATCCGTTGTCATGACAACGCCTTCCACCTAGCTCACAACAACCTGGACCGTTGTCATAGCAACACATTTCAGTTTTGTTGCTGTTGAACTCCTTTGGACATTGAAATGGGTATTTCCAATCCATTGGACAGGAAAATCCTATGAGAAAGAGTATTGTTTTCAGTTTTATTTCTACCATTCAAAGTTTTTAGCAATGCTTAATTGTTTTGTTGCATACTTGTACCTACAGGAGACACGTGCGAATAGTGTGCCTGTTTTTAATTACATTTGTTTACTATATAGGAATTGTGTCCATATAAGAAAGCTTTATATTTAACGTTAGCTTTGTGTTAGCTAAACAATCTCATAACCAACACTGAAGGGCAAGTCAAATAACCGAGAAATGTCTAAAAATCTGCCACAGGCATTTCGTAAATACGCTTTCTTTGTTTTGCGAAGAAAGCTCTGATGTTGTACGGGAGTGACCCTTAAACTAATCAAAACTCGGGCGTTGCGACCATTTTTATTCAAAACTCATTGTGGTCTGATGAAAGTCAACCATGATTTGTTTACTTCAGAGTTTAGTCGATAGCACTTTTAAAACTGGAAAGGCAGCGTAGTCCTCCACCTTTTTCCTCTCTAAGGGCTATCCACGGCAGTGCAGTTCGTTGACTTAACCTTTAGAAATTAACGGCAAAGCTAGGAAGTCATACAGCTTACCTTTTCGGTATTTCTCTGAAGAAAACTGTGCCACAAAACCTGAATCAGCAACAGCATCATCTGATTTGAATCTTACCCATAGTTGCTGGCCGCTTGAATACAGCGCATCGGTGTTATTAGTTCCACAAAATGTCCCGAGCAGACGAGCCGTAGAAGATGCTCCATCTCTTACTTCAACATAATCGCACGAACAGTACTCAGAAGTTCTCATTCTACCGCAGCTTTGAATTGACATCGACAGGATTTTGAATTTGATGCGCGTTCTATATGGCGTTGTGATTTTCCAGACACAGTCCACGTTGTTAGGATAGTTTCGAGAAGGAAATTCTGGGCTGTGGATTGAGCCTACTGATGTAACGAGACTCGTGGCGTTCTTACAAACTGAGAACAAAATGTAATGGAGAGAAAAGTGAACGACAAAAAGGGCACGGCTCAAAGAATGAAAACTGTTATAAAATAAACTGCATCGGTTGTAGTCTTTTGACATCATCTCATTGCCAACTGAGCCACTAAATCGACTAGATCCTAGTTTTTAGTTGTTAATTTATTTCAGTTTGATAAAAAATTATTTTAAAGGGTTTTCTATGAGTAGTACTGAATAAAAAGGATAAGAGGCAAATGGGAACACCTGAGTTATTAAGTGAATGATTTACGTTCCTTGTCTGTGAAATAATAAAGAAATTCTGAGGCACCAAACAAACCTGCACCAGGAAGTACGGAGGAATATGTCGCTGTGAACCCTGAAAAGCTGTTTCCGTGATCAGAGCTGAACACAACCTTCAATACCTGTTTGCTTGAAAAGAAAGGACCCGGTAAAGAGCTTCCACAAAACTTTCCCAAAGAAATGTGTTTGTTTCCGATGACGTCCAAAATCTCCACAAAGTCACATTGGCAATCAAGGCAGCTCTCTAAGTGAAATGTGTTAAATGAAAGTTTGATGTGCTGATTGCTGTCTGGAATTTCAATGTTCCATATGCAGCGAGTGTTGTCCGGATAAAGCAAAGTGCCGAGTGGTTTGGGGCTACTAAAATCTCCAGAGCTGTTTGAATAAGAGGAAGAATCAGGACACCCTGAGGAAAAAAAAATGAATAGAGTAGAAAAGTGAAAAGTCGAAAAGTATCCTTTACAAAAACAACCTTTTGGAAGGGTGTGATCTGTACGGGTCCGCAAATGATCCCAGGACCGCAAATGATCCCCGGCCGCAAATGATCCCCGGCCGCAAATGATCCCCGGCCGCGAATGATCCCCGGCCGCAATTGATCCCGACTAGAAAATAACGAATGACATGGATGCCGAAATAGTGTGGATTGGGAATTGGCGTGAACAGTGATTATCATGGCTCACAACTAGCATCTTTTCTACACTTTGTGCTTAATTTTTTTTATTAACTCTAACAACTCACAAATGACAAATAAAATTGCTGATTTGAATTGCAGGCCAGAAGTTTTGTTTTCTTTGCAACCAGAATCCCTTTAATTCCTGAACAACTGCTGGTTGGGGATTCTGCGATGTTGTTGGTTCCAGGCTATGGTAATGAAGCTCAGCTTCATGGCCTAGCAAGGCCATATCCCCACTCTGGGTACAATTTTCAACGAGGATGCTGAACAAAAGACTTATTTCAACAGGCAATCAATGAAATCAACTGCAGAAATTTAAGTTTTTTCTTACAGCTATCATACTATGTGTGTATTTTAAATCTCCGTTGTCCTTGCGATTTTTACATGCTCGATTTCACTGAAATCACACGTGTACCGGAAGCATTGATCATATGTAACAGAAATGAAATCCGATTAAGCATATTCTCCAACGTTCTACACAATAAACAGGAGATTCGCAGCCCAAGATCACAAGAGATGTCTTTAGAAAATTTTTGTACTACGCTAAAGGTCTTGAAATCGACAAAATCTTTGGCCCTTAAAACGGTGTGTGTTACTCGACAGAACGTCACGCAATGTCACAGATTTTCCGCAAAAATCGAAAAAAAAAAAATCAGTTATGGAATACTTCTTATAAAAAACGTGTTTTCATATCAATCCATGCCATTCCTTATTTTTTAGTCAGGATCATTTGCGGTTCGCTGTGAGGATCATTTGCGATCCGGGATCAATTGCGGTCCAATTTGGGGATCATTTGCGGTCCGGGATCATTTGCGGTCCGGGATCATTTGCGGCCCGGGATCATTTGCGGTCCGGGATCATTTGCGGTCCGGGACCATTTGCGGTCCGGGATAATTTCCGGTCCGGGATCATTTGCGGTCCGGGATCATTTGCGGTCCGGGATCATTTGCGGTCCTGTACAGATCAGCTATGACCTTAATAGATGGTTCTGTCTTTCTCTATTTATTTAACGAATACTGTACTTCCTCAAATAAGCGTCCTTTCAACGAACTGTAACTTTATTTTAGCTAAATCTTAAAAAGAAAAACTAAAATTATAGTATTATCCACTTATGCGTTAAGTTTAAGTTTACTACTAATCTGAGAAAGCGAGGGAGGGAGGGGAAGTGCCTACTCGAGGGGGGGGCGCTTATTTAACATTTTGGCGTAGGGAGTCGGCGCTTATTCGGGGCCAAGGCGCTTATTCCAGCGTGGGCGCTTATTCGGGGCCAAGGCGCTTATTCCAGCGTGGGCGCTTATTCGGGGCCAAGGCGCTTATTCCAGCGTGGGCGCTTATTCGAGGAAGCAAAATAGATTCCATGTTGCGTCTGTTCAGTAATCACAGATGACGTCAAAGAGTGATAGGAACAAAAAAAAATGGCACACGAGGCGCAGCCAAGTGCGTCACTGATGATCTTGATACATTCTAAGTTCCGCTGCGATTACTGACTAGTATAGACCCACGGCAACAAGGAATCTAATTCTTTTAGGTAATAAAGAGGGAACATGTTTTTTATGGTGACTTCCTCTACGTGTCTGTCATCCAATAGATCATAAGTAAGAACCAATCATAATTCGCGTATAATTCAGCTTATTTCATAAAACAAACAGCTTATAAAAAGTTGTGTGTTAACTAAAAGGAAGCATTTCAGGTCTTGGGAGATGAAACGTCAGTTTTTCTCCTGATAAGTGAATTAAAAAAGACTCGATGATCTTTAGTTTCAAGCAACTAAAATTTCAAGCTAACGCAGTTCGTGATCATCCAAATTTTACGAATTGAACAATAGTTAAGGACGAGGTTGGTGAGCTTCCGTTAAGCTGGGATTTCCACAGGATTTCCATGGGATTTCCATCATTATTTCAAGCCAGGTACATCTGGTATTATCAACGACCACACGCGTGCATTGGGAGAATTATGAATAGTATGTTAGCACTCCCAGACGCATTTGTTGGGACACCTACTTACTGCGTTCCATGCCCTTCTCAACGTTGGTATGCAAAATGCAAGAAGGCTTGGGAGCGTTGACAATTAACAGTATTGGAAGAGGGGCGAAAGAACATCATAGACATCGTTTTGAAGAAGTGTCCCAATTTATTATGTCTGGGAGTAATTGTTAACAACCACACGCGTGTAGTCGGAGAAATAAATGAAATGAATAATTAACAATATAGCGCTGTCAGTTCCCAGATTGGAAAAAACTCAATTAGGAGTTCATATTTTAATTTAGAACGCTTTTTGTCTGCTAAAAGAATAATGCTTTTGCACGCCCAAAACGCTGGCGTGACTACCAGGGGATTGAACGTTATGACACCTTTTTACCAAAATATATTGTCATTTATGGTACTCACATGTTCGTGTTGACACAAATTCCAGAAGATAGAATACTGTAAAACCAGAGTAAAAAAAAAACAAAAACAACAGCAACAAATTATAAGGAATTAGTTTATATAAGAGCTCCAAACCCCAAATGTCAGATCAACTGTATCAAATTAACTACAAGTCACGACATTTTTTTGACGACGAAAATTTCCGCTTAAGGAAACCATATTTTGTAAGCTTTCTAGGGAAGAAAAGCACCAAAGAGGAATCAGAACACTAAAGAGAACAAGAATGTCTTGATAAACTTGAAAAATTCACGCTACATTTTTCAAGATCCTCGAACCGTGAAGAAGCCTCTTTAAATATAGTGAGAGGCTTTGAAGATCCCAGTTACAATGTTGGCTCCAGTACTTCCATTCATAGCTAATATACGCGTCATGATCAGTCATATAAAGCAGCATAAGCTGTAGTGTAAAGATATAATAACACTGAAGTTACTGTCTTACCATTGTGTATTTAAGCAGCGGAGGCCCTCGAGCGGAAAACAAGACTGACCGCAGGCCGCGGTCTATTGGACCTTGAAGTTCATTTGTCGCTAAACGACACTGATAGTATTGTATGGTAGATTTATTGGAGTCTTGTGTTCTAGCCGTGAAGACCTATATTTTATTTTGAACTTAGTTTTGATTTCTCTAAATAGAAAATGCCCCTCTCAAAACTGATGTTTGAAGTTAGCTTTGGTTTTGTTTATCAGCAGCGGTCAATAAAGTCCTTACCGTGCCTGTAATCATATCATTAGCTGTCAACAATAGCATTATCACCGATCAAGCGAGTCACAAAAGCCATAGATATGGAGAATAGTTTTGGATTTAGTATTAGCTCTAAACAACAGAAATAATCTAAAAATATCAATGATAAAAACATTACCTGTCAACAGTTGAAGCATATCGTCAACCAAAGCCAATTCCACCTAAATTTTCTCGATCACCGAGAGGCTCAGAAATCACAGCGGATGTGGAAAGGTCATGATAAATTCACGTGAAGAATGTTCTTAATATCGTACCCGGCATAAGTTCCGTCATGCGAGGCCAGCAGCTTTCGTTAATTAGGATCGGTTCTTGATGGTCAAAATAAATACCTTTTCAATTTTCTCTACGGTAAGACCTCTTTAGTTCATGCTATGGTTTGACGAGATATTCAGTTCCGCGCTAACTCCGTAATCTTTTCCTCCGCTCAAGACCGGTTTTGTGAGAACTTGGTTAGTGTGATCGGAAAACCACGTTGATATAGAAGCCTTGACACATTGACGGGAAGATCCTGCCAGTTGAGTGTCTAACAGCTGAAAAATACAAAAACATGAGGTGTCCAAAACACTCAGCGGTATTTTACAATCCTTGTTATTTTTTTTAATCGATGACGTCAGTGATTTTAGGTGTGCTCTTCACTGGCGTCGAGGGTTTGTAAGCAACTTACTGGCTATCAATCTACTTTCCTTTAAATGTGATTGGGCACGCATTACAGTTAGCCCACGCGTAGAAGAAACCTTGTTTTTTATTTTCTAGTTTCTCTTCCTTTTGAAAATTCTAGAATGATTTCTGAAACCCGCCTTAGGGTTCCTCCAAGGTTATTTTAGTTTAAAATGGTTTAAAGTATCTAAAGCGTGAGAGAGAGTCTCAATGCAAAAAAAACGACCTGTAGTCTCATTCATACCACGAACACCGCCTACGGGAACATAATTCACATCGTTTGGAACGCGTCCAAAGTGCTATAACAATGAAGCATGGCCATTTACCTCATCAAATTTTCATTGACAAATTACATTTGTCACAAAAATATCCGTCTTAAATTCATTAGTAGAGAAATCATGTATTATGACAATTTTCAGTTACAAATTCACTGGGGAAAACTTTTCCAGACTTTTCCAATCTAATTCCTTTCTCTGTGTTACAAACACACATGCTCAGGAATAAATTATGAAAGGAGAACTTGGGCGCTTTCCATTCAACAAAAATCACCGGTTCAAAATCTCGGAACTTTAGCTGGCCGAATGGAACGTGTCCTTTTCGATAATTCGGGAAATTTCATTAAGGAGGGTGCACTCAAAACGTATTCCTAAATTTTCGAAAAATTTTCCCAGAAGTTTTACCGTTCCATTCAATTTCGGACCGGAATTTTCGGAATTTTTGGTCGAGTGGAAAGCGCCCCGTATTCCTAAATTTTCGAAAACTTATCCCTGAACTTTTCCGTTCCATTCGATTTCGGACCGGAAATCTCGAAAATTTTGTTGAATAGAAAGCGCCCCTTGCCTTTGAAAAAACCGAGCAGTTAAGGCCTCATACCTGTGAATTTCTTTGCAGTGCATCTAAGTTACTTAAGTTGCTTATGTAGATACCCAGCTTTTTGATGACGATATCAGGAATGAAGACTGGTCCTATTATATGATTGATTAGTCTGAGAGGAAGTCTTTCTTGATCAGACTTTTGGGAATACTGCCAACGACTATTGTGGCCGATCTGCTTACAATTACTTTTGCTAAATGCATGTAGATTGGTAGATAAAGAGTAGAATACGGGCGTACAGGCCACATCTGACGATCAGAGAAAACCGCCGGGCAGGACTCACTGGTACTGCTGAAAACAAGCCACTCAATCGATTATATTTGACTTAGCTTTGCTGGAAAATTCTATTTATGGCCTAGACTGACTTTTTCTGTGAAAAATAATAACATTAAAAAAATAGAAAGTCAGTCTTTCAGCTTCTTCTCTCGATCAGTTTCGAGATAGCGATCGTATGTTTTCAAATTGCTAGCCTACTCTTTCTGCTCAAAAGGATGCTATGTCATTGAAACCATCGCCTTGGCTACTCTGATGTGTACTTTGGTTAAAATTATACAAGTTAACTTAAGATTCAATGTCGCATGTGTTGCCGCTGCTTACCCTGCTGGCGCACAGCTCATACCTCGCTGATCCAGTGTATAGATATTTCAATTCAAAATGTAATTAAGGTAAAAGAGTAATGAAAAAAAATAAAATAAAATTGAAACATTCTTTATGGGTATAGTCCTCTTTGCTTATATAACCAGTCAGGTATCGAGACCGTAGTGTTATGAATGAACCATAAGGAAATGCAAATCTTATTGTGGGTGTGTTTTTTAAAGCCATCAAAGCGAGAAAACCGTTTAGCGGTCTCATTACCGGCAAAGCAATTGAGGGATAGGATCTTGTCTCTGTAGATCAGACGTTCTGTCAGACCCTGGAGGGTCGGTATGGACACATCGATTAAATGTCAACGGCTTGATTCATCGTGCTTTGAGCACCACTGTCACGCTCGGATGATTTTCAATTCAAAACCAGGTCTTTATGCCGGCAAGAGAACATCAACTTGATATCAGCCAAGTTTTGATTCGATCGGAAACTTTCTGAGAGTCAGCGAATAAGCAAATCTCAAAGCGATCGAATATTGCCATGACACTACTCGTAAAATAATGCATACTTTTTGGCATGTCAATCGCTTAATCACAGCCACGAAATCGTCAGAAAACCATACAAAGCTGTTAGAATAACCTCAAAATGTCGATTGAATTAGTGTTTGAACTTCGCTTTGTCTAACGCAGTGTTTACGTCCTCCTTTTTGCGAACCAGGTCAGTTTATCGCAATAAATTGTCATTGAAAGAACGTGTGGTGGCAAGAATGGGGGGAGTAGACACGTGGCCAATTGCTTTCGTTTTGTTTAAATACTCATGTTTACTTTAAGACTCGACAATGCTTCAGTGTTTTCGTTTCTCAGAGCAGATTATGGCGATATCAAGTTATCATAATGCTTCTACTTTACTCCAAAACGTCGTGTTGTGGCGTAAATCAAGAGTTAAAAGCTCTTGAAGCGATATCGACGTATTAAAAACAGTATGTTTTAACTGTCCTGCGTATGAAGCGGAAACGCATGGTCTTCGCGTGACGAGGTGACCACCCATAAAACGAAGATTTCCCTCGAAATCGTGAGGAAATGAACGTAAAAATATTTTAAGGCTCTTTGGCAAAAGTTATGGTATAAATGCATTTAGCTGGTAATTTGATCTCTGTCGATGGCTTGCAACGAAAGCAATTGTTCCGCGCCCGAGACATGAATAATAACAGCACTCGTGTATGTCGAATAAGAAGGCAATCATTTGGCTGAGTAAATTTATGTCTCCCTTGAAATATAAAGAAAATATCAATAGGGTCTGCTCACCTATTAAAACTCTTATTATCCAAACAGTTGCGTTCAAAAATTCCCCAGGATGATTCATAAGATTCAAACGCACCGATTTGAAGTTTAGCAAAGGAGATGATGTCTGTCACGCAAAAATGCAGTGGTTTCTTGTATATGCAAATTTCCTTTCTACGATTCGGCAGGTGCTAACAAAGACGGCCTGAGCTTTTAAAGAATTAATGCCAAGTCAATTGACCGAAATGACAAAACGTCATCTGGGCGAAATGGCAATAAACCTGCTTTGGGAAAAAGCCAACTCGTCACTGCTTCTCGTCGAGCGTGTCTGCTACAGTCGGTAATCGCCTGTTCTCATTCTAAAAGTGACAGATAATTTGTTTACGCGCCCTTTTCAATGACCCATGAACGAAAGCTATGCAAATTTCGCAAACAAGAAAAGAACTGTTTTAGGCAAACTTCATTTTCCGTTTGAATGTTAATGCCACTGTCTGGGATTTTCTGTGTCATGTGCAGTTTTAGTACTTTTTTTTTTTTTATTTTCTGTTCCTGATTGTTCTGAAATTTCGTTGTCGTGATGAAATTTCGATGGAAAACGTCATCATATATCTTGCATGAGAAGCCTACTTCTTCCTAGATGGCGAAATAAAATGAAATATTAAATAAAACCCAAATATGGGTTTTATCTACGCTGCGGTCGTCGAGAAATAATTCACACTTGATGTTTTCAGCCCAAGAGGTTTGAAGTTTACACTGTAAATACATATTTAATGAAAGTATAGTTTCAACGAGTAGTCTGTTGTCACACTGAGTTTTTCAGTCAGCGAAAAAAAGAAATGCATAAATTCACTTCACCATTTTCAGTTTTTTAGACATCATGTTTTTGATTGAATATACGATGCTGAAATTCTAGGTCCTTTTCGAATTACCGACAACATATCGAATATAATTAAAACGACGAAATTGTAAAGCCGAGATACCTTTGGCACTTTTTTGTCTTTTATCACGGATTTCGATCAAACGTCGATTTCTACCTATTTCAGTAAACTTTGTTGGCCAGTTTAGCTACAAAAATAAATTAGTTTTAGCTGCTATTCCTTCAAGTTCATCAAAAGAGTTATTACTATGTGACTTAAACGATTTGTAATTTTTCACCAAAACGCAAGGATAGGTTTCTCATTAACTAAATCTTGGCTTTCCGTAATGATTCGGCTAAAAATTTCTTTTGATTAGTTCTTATAATTCTGCCAATATCAGTCCAAGTACTCTTCAAAACACGATCATTCTAAAGGGTATTTCGGCTGTTTACTTTTGCTGGCACCCATTTAAACTTTTTTATTTTTTATTTTATACTTTATAACCCTCAATCATACTTTCCCTTCACTTGGAACACAATCAAATCTATATTATCTGCATCATGATATTTGTCAAAATTGTTTTAAGCGTTGTCAGAGTAATATCAAGTGACACCGCTGATTAACAATATTGATAATTACAAATCATTCCTTCATTTAGTGAAGGGAATGGGCGCATACCTACAGGCATCATATTAAAGATATTTGTCTTCCACTCCTTTGCCTTGATCCATCAGAAAAACCAACAACTTTCTTAATAAGTTCCAATTTTAACTTAGAGAACCGGGGGCGAGGAACCACCCAGCAGAACTGCCTCTGGTATTAAATTCCAATCGATTCAATTTCAACTCAGAGAAAATAATGAGACCATTATTTCCTCTTAATTTGACAACATCCGAGATACACATGTGAGTATTTTCCTTAGAATTGTTAAAGGGGTTTGGTTTCACGTGAGAGATTAAAAAAAGAAAAGAAATACAGTAATAAAATAACTTTGATGTTTCTGAAATTTGCGTGTTTACGAACTATCTTGTTCTTATCGTGTTGTGAAGTCTCTATGATAATGACTTATGATAATGTGAAGTCTCTATGATAATGGTGCAGTTTTTTCTCGAGCATTCTTTTAAAGAAATCAATTTTATTCCTGCAAAATTCCACTTTATTGACTTCTGGCCTGTAAGAGAGGCCAAAAAGACAAAACGCGTTTATATGGGTATGGAATCCCGACAGTGGACGAGTTTAAAATCTTGCTGTCTCCTGCTATGTCCCCGGGGTAACTTCCCAGGATTCATATGATTTTTTTCATTTTTAGGTGCGAGACTGTAAGTTTGCGATTTTTCTTCATAACACTGCGTCTGTCTCGAAGGAATTAAAATTTGATGCTGTAATAGCCTTGGGGTATTACTTGCCAAGACCTCTTACTCACCGTCTACACAGGAAAGACCCTCAATTGCAAATCTTTACAATGATTCCATGGTTTCAGAGCATCAAACTATCAGTAGTGATGGTATATTTATCCCAGCTTCTTTGTTTGACGATTGAACATAATCTTTGCCACAAGGAGCTCTAATTTTTTTCATCTATTAGCTTTACGAACTGCTAAGGGCCACGCTTTTGTTTTGTCAAAATGTATTTCTTGGCTATCAATCACTCGGACAGTAAGAGTATAAATAAGATCGGGAGATTGGAGATTTGCTTATAAGTGAGATATTGTTTCGCCGTCTATTTTCTTTCAGGATTACATACATATATGGCTTGTTCGACGACAACCGCAAACAAAAAAAGATTGAACGAAAAATATCTATAGGCATTTAGATAAAAGCGTTCAATTTTCTTATTTTAATTTGTGTGCATTCATACTTTCATCCCTTTCTTCACTCGCGGGCTGTACTCTGTCTATGTCTTCGAAGAGTAAATTAGTGTGGGTTTTATCCTTTTTTATTAACTTCTTGACAAAAGCGTGCTTCTGATGTAAAATTAATGATCAATTATCCAATAAGTTCTCAGTTCTTGTTCTTAGAGGTTGTCGAATTGCTGTATTATTCATTGGTCAGCGAACTGAAATGGAAACGGATCATGAATAAAATGTAAAAAAAAACATTGAAATTTTGCCTCCAAGAGAATATAAATTATGTAAGATTTCACGACAAAACAAACTTCAAAGCTAGCCGTTTAGTTATTGGTAGATTTTATTATTTGCAGACACTTCTTCAACTAATTTCTCCTGAAGCAGATATGGCAGGCTAGTTCATCCTAGATAAAGTAAGACACATAATGATAGATGTTATATGTTAGATATCGTTTGTCCAATATTACCCTCCAACAATCAAGTTTTTGAATAATTACGTAAAAAAATAATTTTAGCTCTCGCCTGCCATCTTTCGGTGGCTAAGTTTTTAAAGCTATCAGTTATATCTAATCGAACAAGGGTTTCCAGCGAGGTGTCAGAGGGAAATTTGTTTTCGATGCTAAAGGAATGTGCGACCAAGCGAACGACGAATATTGTGATGGCAGCGTTAGTGAAAAGAATAACAAAATACCATTTACAACCATTTTCAGGGAAAAATCTGAAAAAAATTTAATAGTTTATCGTAATAGGTGTTTTAAAGTCCTCATGCACTGCGGTTGATCTCACGCAACATTACCAAGAATGTCATGTAACAAGTTTATAATTAAACACGTTAATTTTCTGTGTCAGCGGTCGATCTCGTGGAGCGGAACATAGTAATAATAAATATAAATGTCTCTTAAATTAGAAGACAGCGATATACAGCTGAAGAATTTGTCTTTTCACCCAATGCAGGTGAATGAATAGCGTATATGTGTCTGCTACATTCAATTCAAAATACACGTTTGATAAAATCATTATCATTCCCAGCTGCATACAGTCAACGTTTTTATCCATGTGTCGTGAATTATTTTCCTGCATTTTTTGTTTAGCCACTAAGCTTAGATTACACCGACATCCAAGCATGGATAGCAGTCAAGCCAACGAGACTATCCAAAGGGGTGGTTTTAGCAGCACAACTGGTTGCTATGGAAAAGACAAAAATGCCTCTTGTGGTACTGAAATAGGTGCGTTAAGCTTCACTTCCTCGGTACAATTGTGCTGTAATTGGTAGCTATGGTTTAGCGGGCTCTAAGACCTTAGAATCTGGAGTTCGTGGCTTCGATTGGATGTTGGACTGGAGTTTGTAAACTTCTAGAAATTCTAACTTCTCACTCATAGAGGACACTTAAGTCTCTTCCATCAAAATTGATGAATGTCTGTATATAAGAAAAGATTGAGACGTAATGGAGCATTTTCTCATATCTTACAAAAGAAATTTTGAATTAGGTGTAAAACGATGCTATTTATTTGACTGTCCTCTCATGTTCCAGGGACTCAAACAAACCTGCACCAATTGAAAGAGCATACAGGCGTGAAATATATCATATATCCACCAAGCCCTGCTACGATATCTTCTCACGCTGTATTTTGGCATTTTTCGAAAGTGACAAAAACTATTTGTCTTTTGCTGAACAATGACTGATAAAGATGAGACTTAGTAAAATCAATCAATGGTCATTTGAGACATAAAAATAGATCTTTTTCTTCTATTTCTGCTTATTCTGTCCCTTCTGTTAGGTACCATTTACGAAGGATGCGAGATAAACGTGGCAGTTATTATTGTAGTAATTCTTATAATCGTGGGTTGGTTCATTGGATACCTCTTCCTTCAGAAAGTGGAAGATAGAAAAGAGGAGGGGAATAGTTCGACATCGCAGAAAAGACGGACATTTAAAATCCCATAACATGTCAAACTGATCAGCTTTTAGTGACAGTGATTCAGTTTTGGATTTCACTTCACTTCGTCGAGGATGGAACCGTGGATAGTTTAGATTAGGTAAAGCGACAGATATCTTGGTATAGGTTATAATGTCAGGTTATTTGAACCACACCTTGCACAAAGTTTAAAAGTATTCCAATCGTTTTAAGTTAACTGACGGACAGAAATATCCCTAAACGTTATTAACTAAACTACACCGCTGTTAATCATATTTCATTTTGGCTGGCCGGTTTAATTCCTAACCAGTAAGCTCTACTACATGTAACTATGATGGAAGTAAACATGTTGAATGTTTAGAGAGAACACGCGGACAAGAAAACCGTTTTTGTGAAAATAGAAACAAAAGTTTGAATTGTCTGAAAGTAGCATTGAAATATGGTGCGCTTTTATACTATTGTGAGAGGAGGTATACAATATAGAGAGAGTATGTTTACGAACAATACAATAGATCTGAAACATGTCAAAGGTAAGGTGTCTTCCCTGAGTTGTGACAAAGTAACAACAAGATTTTTATTTTTTCATACCATAACTACAGAAAATGATTTGCACCTCCCTCACAAAGGTGTATCAAAAAAAAAAAAGGGAGGTTGTCATCTATATTTAGTGCTATTAACTCAGACTACTTCCTTGATGTTACAAGTCCGTTGTAAGTAGAACAAACTTTACCCAATTGTGTGAAATGCGTTTTGAAGTCACATGATAGCTCGTGTAGTTTTACAAGGTGTACTTTATTATTCCTACTGAGACCGTCCCAAACGTCTGTAACTAACGTAAGCCTCGAGGAAATAAGTGTTACTCCAGGCAACTAGCAAATACAGCGAGGGCTAAATTTGCAAGAAACCATAAAAAACTGTTCACTTGCGTCTTAGCCATCGAGCTGTTACGTTGAGTGCGAAGAGTGGGTGGATTTGTGCTTCCATTCGGTGAAGGATCCTCCCTCGTCTTAGAAATATCTGAAAAAGATGAAAAGAAGGCAAAACTGATGTGAGCTTTAGCAAAAATTATACAAACCTCAAGTTACAATCTATTACAATACTGTTTTCCAATGGCGGTATGGTGACTTCTAGGTCTCAAGATGTAATTTGCGAGTACGAGCTCGAGCTAGCAAACCAGATGTTAATTTGAAGCGTAAATAGCTTTCTTCGTTTCATCCTTTCGATTCTGAGATTAACACAATTTAATATGTAAATTCTATGGTTATGTTTTCTGTTTAAGAAGATATAATAATAATAATTTAATATTTATATTGCGCAAATTAACATGTCGATATGATCAAATGCGCATCACAACACTGTTCGGGGGACTTTGGCCAGACTGCATCAGCAGTTTACAAACAATCGAAGGAAACTTATTTGAAGATGCCCCCTCCCCCAATTCCCAGTAAACAGGCCAGACCACATCACAGTAATCTCGTGAGTGGGTTCTTTAACGTCCCCTGCCTAACCAAATTATCTAATTAATAGATGCAGGAGACGGGACCTACGGTTTATTCGTCCTTATCCGAGAAGACTAGAATGTCTATCTATTTCTTATTAAAGAAAGGTAGCGCATTCTCCTCAGTGATTTTAAGACCTTGAGTGTTGGTCCGGCCGGGGCTCGAACCATCGACCTCGACCTCCCGCACAACAGTCCAGCGCTCTAACCAACTGAGCTAACCGGGAGGCGGTTGACTGATGTAAAATATGATAGTATTGTGAAAAAATATTCTTTCATGTTCATTCCTGAAAGTAAAAGAGTTTAGTGTTTTGGACTGAAAACCACTGGCATTGAAATTTAGAAGTGTTAGGCTCCGTGGCTTTCTCTTTTCGTAATAGCTTCTTCAGCTCGAATTGAACTATTCTCCAGGCAGGATATCAATGCAGGGCATCCAACCTGTTTGTGTTGTCTGTGAACTTGTTTCCTCACTGCCTTTAGAAGTTGTTGGCGCTGTTGTTGAATATGACTCTGACCATGGACAGTAAACACCAGGAACAGTTCCCCCTATCAATTAAAAAGCAAACATGCAAACAAAAAAACCATCAAAATATCTAAAGAGGAAAATTTAATACTGGGGCTTGTATACAGATACTCCGAAATATTAAAGACGCTATCAAAGGGAAGCTTTAGCAATAATGTTAACCAATCACGTTTCACCCAGGATCTTGGGCTAGAAAAGAGATGCAAACAGACCACCTTGGCCGCGTTTAAGCTTAGTTACATGTTAAAAACCACGCCTGCCAGGACAATGCTTCTATACGTATTTATTTCAGATCATTCTTGCCCCTGTAACTAAACCGTCGAAGATTCCTGGGAATTTTTCACTGAACGCGCAAACGCGAGTGGTGCGAGGCATTTAAGTGAGCGATAAAACCAAACGTGTCGGACATGAATTTGAGATATCTTAGCTCTCTTTTAGCAAACATTATTTAATGTCAATCATAATATATTGCAAACATTGCAATTTTTGAGTTCTGATTGGTTTATAGGCCATGGCTTCCGATCTCATGATCATAACAAACACCACAAATACGAAATAAGCAAAGCATTTCTACGAAATGATTGTGACAGGTTTTAAAAAAATTTTTCCATTCATTTAAGTGTTCATCAGCCTACTAGCACTCATTATATATGAGATGCAGTAGTTATAAACGATTCATTTCCAATGCGCCTTCATGGAACACGCTCCCGGAAGGTAATATTCTTTGAAAAAGAAGATCCACCTGGCGTGAGATCAATAAATTATTTGCAGACGGAGGAAAATTTACTTGTTTTAAAAGCTGCATCTTTCAATTTTTAGTACCCTTAGTACCTTTGTGGCTATAAAAAGTAAAATGGTTAACCGTAAATCAACCCGACAAACAGTGAGTGGGTTGGGTGCGGAATAAATGACAAATTCTCATTGGTTGTGCCATTTATTCATTTCGCAGATCAGACTGACTTCCTCTACACTTGCTTGGCAGTTTTGTCCATTGAGCCCTTATAACCTGATTACTTCATTATTCTCAAGTGCAATAGGTGAACGAATTTAAATTCTTGAGAAAATAGATAATTAAGCCAACAGATTACTTACATCCTTTCAAAGATACAAATGTATAAACTGCTTGAAATCCCTTCTTATTTGACCGACCATCAGATTTAAACGTCACCACAACATAACTTGCCAGAGTATTTTCCACCTTCCATTCGCCTGACTGTAATATTCCACATTTCTTTCGCCTATAGTCTTTGCCTTCCGTAACCTTGAAAAAGTAACCTATTAGTTTACAATTTTATACAAACAAATGACAATTTCTTCAAATCAGGAACGAGGCCAGTACTTCAGTCGGTTGTTGCCAAACCCCGCTGTTCCGACGAACGCCTGTTGATTAATAATAATAATAATAATGAACGTTCTTAATACGCATTTAAGAATCTCAATGCGCTTACAATAATTTTTACTAAGGTTGAGATCGGACGTGCCGTGGCGCTGTCGGTTGGGAAGGCCGAACAATGCCGCACGCTTTTATTTTTTGATTTTACTAATATATTCAATAGGTCGTGATAGAAACAGAGTCATTTTTTATTTTTTTTTGTTAAGCGCTCGCAGATGTCGAACTTATGAGTTTTTCTGTCGTTGTGGTTTCGCTTTTTTTCGTTTAAAACACAATTTCGTCTCGTCGAAACACCCGCTGACCGACAAAAGCCTCTCAGATCAAGGGGCACCCTTAACCAACCTGACAATTACGATGATGATGATGATGCATCATTTACCCTTCTCCTCATTTATCCACAGTAAGTAAGGAATAGGGTTACCAGTGNCTACTCCCCAGGTCTGGATACGCCACTGATTACTCACCTCAACATAGTCACAAGAACACGAGCTTCGACAGTCTTCGAGGTCAAAGTCCAGGAAATTCAGATAAATCTTGTAACCTGCAGGGACTGAAATATTCCAACCACACTGAGTGTTAGTAGGATAGTTGGCAGGGAAGTTCGGACTGGAAAACCATCCACTCGTGTTTGTCAGTTGTGTCATTGGAGAGCACGCTATGGAGAAAAGTATACGGTTAAGGCAAGATGACAATGGGATGGAAAAACAAAGAAATAATTTACTCCGAGAAAAGAAACCAAGTAAGCAAATGAGTAGGCTACAGCCAGATATGCGAAGTACATATATATAATCACTTAAAGAATGCTGCATATTCGTTCGAATGGCTTGACTGATGTGATACTACGAGAGAACGTTGTCCGATGGAAAAAAAAAAAAAAACAACTGTTGTCTCAGAGTCCTTTTTTTAAAATGTTTGTTAAGCTTGACATACTTCTGATTTTACATAGATGAATTTTAATGTATCCCACTTCACTTCCAATCTAACGAAACGAATAAATATATTTCAAATTGCACTAACCGTCATCGAGAAATACATTATGGTAATCGGCGACGAATCCTCTCGAAGTTTGCTCATGATTCGTCAACATGGACATAGAGATTTGATTGTTCACCGAAATAAACGGTGTAACCGAAGATTCTGGGCAGAGTCGCTCATCGCCCATGGTGATTTCACCAATCTCTAAACTACTACACAGACCGTCCGCGCATGGCGTGGACGACGAAGCGCTGGGCGGGCAGATACCAATACATATCCGGTAAAATACGAGAATGAGCCGCGATCCTGCGGGTCCTGTTAAATTCCACGAGCACTCCATGTCATTCGGGTAATTAAGTGGGTAAAATGGGCTAGTGATGGATCCTGAAGTTCCACTGGAATTAATATTTCGTGGGTAAACTGTGAAAAATGTGAAAAAATTAGCTATTCATGAAGTTTGTCTTTAGCTAATAAGGACTTTAAGCAAACCACGACGGCTACGGCAACGAGAACGTGGAAAAACAATAGATCTAATTGGCAGAACAATAGCCCAGCACGTGCGTTTTCAAACTTTGTACATTTCTTAGCCGTCCTTTGCAAAACAACAACGTGAAATCACCAAAATTTGCGTCGTCTGTGAAGCTAAACCGCGGCGGCAAGTTATTTTAATTTACATTTGGAACTCAACGCTACTTTTATGCGTTATGTTGAGTTTGAGGTCTGGCGCCCTATGAGACGGTAAACACAT